ACCATAGTGGCACCCATGTTTTCATCCTCCTGGGTTTTCCTGGCCATCAGTATCTGAAAATGTCTTTATTCATGCTTTTTTCCATCATGTACATCTTGGCACTCTTGGGAAACTTTTCCATCATGGTCTTAGTAAGAAGCCATCCACGACTTCATACTCCCATGTACTTTTTCCTCTGCAACCTCTCCTTCCTAGAGATCTGATACACCACAGCTTGTGTCCCCAAAGCTCTAGCAGTCCTCCTGGGTGGAGACCCAACCATTTCCTTTGACAATTGCCTTCTACAGATGTACTTTGTTTTCTCTTTGGGCTTCACAGAGTGTTTTCTCCTGGCTGCCATGGCATATGACCGTTGTTTGGCAATCTGTTTCCCCTTACATTATAACTCCATCATGAATCACACCCTTTTAACTCAACTTGTCTTTGGATCATGGTTTTGTGATTTCTTGTCCATAACCATACCTACATACATGATTAGCACATTGTCTTTCTGTGGCCCTAATGTTATTAATCACTTTTTTTGTGACATAGCCCCATGGATAGTTCTCTCTTGCACAGATACCAGCCTGGTTGAGTTAGTGGCCTTCATAATCTCATTCATTGTCATCCTTGGCTCATGCATAATAACCCTGGTCTCCTATATTTACATCATCTCTACCGTACTGAGAATCCCATCAGCTATAGACCAACAAAGGGCCTTTTCCACTTGCTCTTCCCATCTCACTGTTGTGATTATTTGGTATGGTTCCACCATTTTTCTCCACATCAAACCTTCCATAAAGGACTCACTAGATTTGACTAAAACTGTCCATGTACTTAACACTATTGTCACACCTTTGCTGAATCCTTTCATTTATTCTCTGAGGAACAAAGAGGTGAAAAAAGCTTTGAAAAGAACAGTGCAATTTAAGTCATGGGCTTGAACTGGGATTGTCACTCAAAAGATGATACTATGTTTCAGGGACTTTTTGTTACTTTAAATACTATGAGCTTATCTTGGAGATATGAGTGAGGTTGGAGCATGTATTACAGAAAATTATGTGGACAAAGTGTGGAACTGGGAGTCATGGATTTCATCTTCAGCTGTATCATAGACTTTTTTGCCTTGCACCTCCACTTCCTGCATTTGTAAAATCTGGACATCACACAAACTACCGCTGTCTGGTTCTCTGAGAATTAGGTGTAAAAATGTATAGATAAGCCCTTAGAATTATTGTTTGTTCCACCCAATTTCAGAAATCTGTATGAGGAATTTCACCATCTGAGTCTCCTTTAATAGCCATAAGTAAGTGACAGACACGTCCAAAAACCCATTTGAGACTTAAGAGTTCATTCATCTTAGAGGTGGACCCTTGGAAAGGACCCACATAACCAAGATGCTAATTTTGATCTGTCTACTTTGATGTTTCTACGAAGACTACACCCGGGCCTTCATATCCACTTTTACTCCAGATATGGGGATTGGTTCTACCTGGATGTCGTGGTTTAATCTCAGTCGGCAACTAAGCACCACGCAGCCGCTCGCTCACTCCCCCCCACCCGGTGGGATGGGGGAGAGAATTGGAAGAGCACAAGTGAGAAAAAACTCATGGGTTGAGATAAAAAACAGTTTAATAATTGAAATAAAATGATGATAATAATAATAATATGATAATAATAATAATACACAAAGCAAGTGATGCACAGTACAATTGCTCACCACCCGCCAACCGATGCCCAGCCAGTCCCCCAGCAGCGGCCCCCCCAGCCAGCTTTCCCCAGTTTATGTACTGAGCATGACGTCACATGGTATGGAATGTCCCTTTGGCCAGTTTGGGTCAGCTGTCCTGGCTGTGCCCCCTCCCAGCTTCTTGTGCACCTCCAGCCTTCTCAGTCCGTAGAGCATGGGAAACTGAAAAATCCTTGACTAGTGTAAGCACTACCTAGCAACAACTAAAACATCGGTGCGTTATCAACTTTGTTCTCATCCTAAATCCAAAACACAGCACTGTACCAGCTACTAGAAAGGAAATTAACTCTATCCCTACCGAAACCAGGACACTAGACATAGAATATATAGCCTTCATTTAAAATTTCCTTGGGCTTCTAAGGATATACACATGCTATGTAATTAAACAGTGCCAGGAAATAGCCTTGGGCACAGTAACATGATCTTCTGTGTTGCAGAATTGTTAGAAAGATCCCTGTCATAGCATTGGGTTATGCCACCTACTATTACTGCAAATATTCTTTGTTATTTTACAGGAGTTTTTATCAGCCAGAATCTGTTCCTGTAGATGGCTTGCATGTGTCTTCTATGATTTGCTTCCTCTGTCTCTCTCTCTTTCTTTTTCTCTCTCAGTTCTTTTTGTTTGGTTGGTTGGTTTTTTCCCTGTCTGTTCTGACATCTGCAATGACAGCCTCTTACCTGCAAAATTTTAAGTATTCTTAAAGGAAACATTAAAAAACCTTCCTTGTTCTGTGTTCATTAAAATGATCTCTTCTTCGTGACATGTGACACGGTTAGTAAAACACACTTGTTTAAAGAAGCAAGTATTAAAGACAAAAACTTTTCTGTCATTATGTACTTACTCACTAGCACATTTGCCATAAAATGAAATGTTCAGCTGTCTGTTTAGTATCTGCAGTTCTATGGACTATTACAGAAAATTCATTTTGACTCCCTGTGATTCTACAACCACTCAAAGAACTGGTGCTGACTCACCAAGACTAGAAAATCTGTGGGAGAACTGGCAAACTGCTCAATGGATTAAGGATAACAGCAGAACCACATGACTTTTAGTGTAAATTGATCTCATCATGAGCTAGTACAATAGAAGATAGGCAGGAAATATAGAATTAAGCTGTTATCCCAATGTGGGTAAATATTCAGAAATTCAGTAAGTCATGTGAACAGAATGAACAGGTCTTGTGTATATATATGTCACAGGTCAGGTAAGAGAAGTCAAATAACACCCCCGCTTTTAGGTGGTCCTCTGTCATACAATTCCTAGTAGACAAAATGTTAGGGAGGGGCAGAAGGAAAGAGGGGAGAGGCAACGGTGAGCAGCCATTAACTGCTAGGCCTCAGTGACAAAGAACATCACTCCTAGCCTACCCATGACCTACTCCATCCAGTATTGGAGTGACAGAACCATATCCACATTTTCACATATTGGTGCAGGCCTGGCTTTCTGCCCCCATCTCACACTATAAACAACCTCCCTCCCTCCCTCCCTCCCTCCCCTCCTTCCTTCCTTCCTTCCTCCCTCCCTTCCTTCCTCCCTTCC